CAGAGCCTAAACTTCGAGCATACTAGCTACAGCAGTTTCACACAGCAAAATTAACACCTAACTCTGATTATAGTCATTCTAAATATTTCTAAGGAACAAAAAATTCTGTAAGTTGTTCCGAAGGAGCATATACAAAGCCATTTGATGAAATAGATCCGATAGAAGTATCAATTGGATAAGTCGTTGAGAAAGTAATAGACTTATCAGTCTTCAAGTAATGCTAAGGGCAGGTTATATCCTACTCACAAATTCTAGATGACCTAGATAGTGGTTCAAGAGTTTCAGGTAACATGTATTTTACGATAACCTCAAATAAGATTACTGTCAACGCAACTATTTCACCTCCTTATCCAGGTTATAGAGTTTTGAAAATCTCAAATGTTTGTACAATATCAGGCAAATGCATTGATGTAGCAGTACCATTGATAATATGGCCAAGTATACAAACTCAAGATGCTCCAAAAACACCTCCTTAATAATTGTGCTCTTCTACTTAAAACTATCCAAAAGTATTAGGACATCCAAGCTATGCATCATTCCATACGGGAGCAGATGTTGATTAGGATAATGGAAATTTTATTGCATGTGGAGGTCTCGTTGACGGAATGGATTATAATACAAATTAATATGGAAATTTTGGGAAAGCTTAAGGATTTATACTTATGTCTGATATCAATGGCAGAATATATTGGTTTTACTCCTCAACCCTAAGCTATGCTGTTGATAGATAATTTTTTACTTCATGTGCTTTTAGTTAAGACAAGTATATTTACAGTATTTTCCTTAATATTAATAACAACAATATTGGGTTAATTAAACAAACTTACGAAAAAGGAAAAATATAATACATAAAGGTTGTAAAGGGACTTTATTACTCAGAAGAAATGGCAGTAAGGATATTTACAGATAAATACGATGCAAGAAATATCTTTATGATGGGCCAAAGGTACGACAATGGTAACGTTGCGAATTACATTATGAAGATTGATGTTTCATAGTAAGTGCCTCTGCATGTATGGTCTAGTGACTAGAGTTTTAGTGGTTATACAATATATCACAAAACTCGAACAATCTTGCCTCATAAAGACCATATCTATTCAATGGGTACAATTATTCCCAATAACTGGTACTTTTAACTTACCAAATAGGATAAATAAACAGGTTAAGCTCTTAAAATGAGACATTTCTTGAATTGGTATTTAAGTGATTTAATGTAGATCCAATTACTTATTGATGAAAATACTCTTTATGTTTAGTCTTCTGATCAAATAGTTTCTCCAAATTAAACAAACTATCTTAGAACATATGATTTAAATCTTAGTCCTCTAGTAGGAACAAAGTTTTTCTTTCTATCATAAAACGTATAATATTTTGCAGGAATGGATTGTGATGATGAATATATCTATTAAACATTCTCCAATGGAGTAGATGCTGTTTATTTATTCAAATAAAACAAGACCTCTTTGGAAGTAATTCGATAAATGAGGTAATATTTATATGTATTCAATTCTTTAGATTCTATAAATTTGATTACAATCTTGCGAGTCAAGTAATTCATCTCAAAGTATATCAAGATAAATTAATTATGTTTATCACTGCTAGTGGAATGCGTATGCTAAATTTCATTTTATTAATACTCTAGTGTCCTCTAATATTCAATCATTTTACATTGATGTTAAAGATAAAAATCTTGATTCTCCAGAATCGTGTATGGCTTTCCAAGATGTTGAGATTACTTATACTTACAGTAATCCAAATCAAGACTATTCAAATCTAGTTACCCAAAATATTTGGCCTGGAGATTTTAGATTTACCCCTTATTATGGGTTATATATAGAGAGTAAGCAATATCCTACAGAAGTTTAATTCTAGTCTGCTTTATACCTTGGTTGTATTGGTTTAATTCCTCAATTTGATAAGCCTCTTGAGAATTAAATAATTACTCTCCCGTCTGATCCAGTTGAATACACATTTAATTGGCCAAATGATTGCAATCAAAACTAGCTTACGTTTACTTGGAATGTGGATAGAATGACTAATGCTCCAAGCTTCATTAAAGTTTCTAATACATCATCATCTGTCACATTAAATTTATCCCCAACTACAAAGAATGTAGGAACATATTCTCTTAGGTTCAGATTTTCTATTATTGGAAAGCCTACAATATATGCTGATGGAGTCATTATTGTTGAAGTATATCCTTAGATAGAATATGGATAAGAATTATCAACTGAGTAATGTGCAACAAGAGTTACACCTGCTATATTCGAGAAATCCTCATCTTATTTTTTATACACAGATATGGACTAAACAGGTGACTTCCTTTTAACTTGTGGGGTAACAAAAGATTCAGACTTGACATACATTAACACCTATTATAATTCATTCATCTCTGTTTACTATAGATTCATTGCACTTAAATTTCATTTAACTTTTGAAGCTAGCTAATTTGACATCTAAGGAACCATTTGTAAATTTGGTTATAAAGATTTGATTTACAGCATTCATTAGAATTACTATTCAGCATCTTAAACTGATACTTTAATGCTTTTCTAACATGAAAATAACGGCAGATTTTTTAACTCGTCTAGCATAAGAATCTACAAAAAAATTCTGAAAGCTGATTACATGTGGATTGATCCAGATAATGGTGATTAGTATATATCTGGGAGAACGCTGTATTAGCCAAATCACTATAACACATTGGCTGCTTTCATTCTTAGAATAAAGCATGATTATTCTTATGTATTCTTCAAATCTTATCAAACCTATGAAGAACTTGAAGCTAGAATGTTTTAAGTAGATACAACAAATAACTTTATCTACTGGTGTTTAGGGTTCACTTTGAATAATAAATGATTTTGGGCAGTTTCAAAGCATTAGCAAGATGATGGTTCATACATATGGGGAAGAAGACTTTATGCTTCAAATAATTACATGTAAAGAGATAGCGATAATAAAAATCAACTTTCAAGTTTGCTATTAAGTTAAAAATACTTATACACATGCCTTCCATACAATCATAATTCTAATGAAGATTATGCTGAACTTCATCTTACTCAACATAGAGTTTCTGATGGAATTAAGCTCTAATCTATACAATATTCAATAAGTTGGACACCAACTACTTGCATAATTTACTTATAAAAGTCAAAAAATCTTATTTATCTGTTATATGGAGCTTTTGGATTCAATTCCCACATTGCAGTAGCAGATATTACAAATGAAAATGCAATGGCATTTAAATACGTTTAGATGAAAGTTTCAACAGCAGTAATAGTTCCTCTATAAATGATGTTTGAAGTAGGAAATGTGTTATGGTATGCAGTTTTTCGAGGATCTTTACCTAATATATTAAGGATTGGGAAATTCATAAATTTCTAAACTTTTGAATGGGATGAACCATGTTTATTCTTCGAAAGTCCTATTAATTATTTTGCATCTAGATAATTGCCATATGGCCCTGATGGAGATTAAAGTGTATATTGGTCAAATCTTGATATGTTCTTCGAATAAGATATTACTAAAGAACGCTATGATGCATATTCTTCCTTCGATTTGGATTTTCGAGTTATGCAATACAATAATAGAACAGCTAATCTTAGAATGAAATCAGAAGATTGCAATATTTTTTCAAATCCTGGGTTGGTCAAAATATCTGATAGATTGGGAGAGCCATTTACTGCAATCTCTGGTGGATTTCCAGTAAGTTTTAATAACTACTCAATGATACTATCTAAATTTTCCCATTGCGGAAATTTTCCCATTACATATACCCTAAAAATATCGCCTAATACTGCTTTACCTTCATTTATGTCATTTGATATTGATAATCTGATCTTGAAAATATCACCTTGGGATGTTTCTTTCATTAAAATTTACAAATTAAGATTGACTGGCTCACTATAAGAAAGTCCTTCAAATTCAAATTATACTGAATTTTAGGTTGAAGTAATTAAGAATAGTCCTCCAAAACCTAAAGATTATATAAAAAGTGCCACACTTTATGCTCATCATAGCCAAACATGGCAAGTATATCTTGACTATGACTTAGAATTTGATGAAGCTAAATTTAGTGTCTCCTTGCTAAGCAGTACTAATGCAACTATTACTGCAACTTGGCTTGATATCTCATATTCTGACAATCAAGGCATTGAGTTTTCAATATTAAACCCTCCTCAGCCACCTACAGGTTTAAACTTGTCCCAATATTACATAAGAGTAAATGTATCTGATTAATTCTCTAGATTGACGCCAAATCTAACATTTATTGATTTGAAAATTCTTAGAAACTTTTCGCCTTTCCTTTCACCTCTAGTGAATTAGACTATCTAATCAATTTACATAACTAAATCCTTTTCTTACACTTTATGGTACTAGAATTTTACAGATAATGAAAATGATTAAGTAATTATTGATTGCTAAGTATATACAACAGCCTTAAATAAAGATTGGATATCTATAGAAGTAAATAAAACCATGCCAGGAAACATTACTTTCTTTGGCCAAACACCAAGGGATAATAGATTTGTTGGAATTTATACTTTTAAGTGTAGTGCTGCTGATTAATATGATGGAGCATTAAATATCTTTAATTTCACTCTGAATGTCCAGGCTAAATAGTAGATAGTTATTTTATAATCATAGCATAATGTATCATTCAGACTGCCAGCAACTAAAAATTTGACATTCTTAAATTTTAGTTAAGACCCTTTAAATGAACCTAACTACTATTCATTGCTTGTTAATAATACTGCATACAACAATATATCGCTACCCTGGCTTTACTGGAATAATGAGACTTTGGAAATATTTGCACATCCTTTTTCTAATAGTTAAGGAGGAAATCATTCGATCTCAATTAAATTTGAAGACTATATATCTTAGTCTATCTTTTTAAACTTTACTCTAGAAGTAATTTAAAACTAGCCATTGGTTCCAGCCAAATAACTTAACGAAATAATGGTAATAGCAAATACTTGGTTCTATTATGACTTTGTAAAAACATAAATATTTATAAACCCAGAAGGTGAAGAATTTTAGATGTATTTTAGAACTTCTGAATAGGATAATTCTCTTCCCTATTTTATTTCGAAAAACTTTTCAAATGGAACAATCGGTGGATTTACTTCGGACGAAAATATTGGAAAACATAATATAGAGTGCGTTGGAATAGATGATGCACTTTGGGAAACTGTAGTCAATTTTTAATTGGTAGTCAAGCGTAAATAAATATTAATCATTTAATCTTAATTTCATAACTTAGATTCTTAATTCTTTCTATAGCTTGCTATTAAAA